TGTGTCCCCGGATGCCAGACACCTGAGCAGCTCCAGCGTCAGGCCGCGCCGCCCGACCTGATCCATGCTGAGGTACCGCTCTGACTTTCTGTGTGAGTGTGATAGCTGAGCGCCAGTCCTGTCTGCAGTCAAAGCTTCAGATGGAAGCCGGGTGTGGGGGTGCACAGTTGTAATCTCAGCCCTGGGGAGGCTGAGGCAGGAGGATCTTTGGGGTTGGAGCCCAGCCTGAGCTACATGGTGACTTCGAGACTCGACTACATAGTGAGATCCTGTCTTAACCTCCCCCCAAACAAAACAACAAAAAATAAAAAAAAACCTTTAGGTATAAAATGTGTGATCATGGGTTTCCGAGAGGCTATCTCATCAAATTGGAAATTTCTCAACATTTCTATTTTTGAGTTACTGTGGACCTGTCTGTATTTTGTTTGATTTTCTTTTTTGTGGTACAGGGGCTAGAACTACAGATCCTGTGCTTGCTAGACAGGTGCTTATGCCACAGAACTATCTCCCTGCCCCTTCTCCCGGCCCCCCCCCCCCCTTTATTTTTAAAGACAGGGCATTGCTGTATTGGCCTGAGGTTGTGGCAGTCCTGCCTCAGTCGCCCGCAGTGCTGGGAGTTCTTGCAGGTGTGCCTACTGCAACCCAGAAGCTGCTTGCATTGAACAGAAGTCTCTCCTTTGCCTTCTGTTTTGCTTGTGCATCACGGGGGGCCCAAAACAAGGGCACCCCTTTCCCTTTGGTATTCCTGTGTTATTTGAAGATCATGAGAACCTCTCTTCGTTCTTGTGTCTCTCATCTTTAGGGTGTCGTTTCCACCTGGTGTGCCGTCTTGGGCAGCTTTTCCCGGGTGGAGTTATTTTATAGAGTGCACCTGAGATGTGTGACGTTCACTCCCTCCTTTTCAGCCAAGTATGGGGGTGAAGACCTGGCATTCCAGCACTGGAGGCTGAAGTAGGAGGACTGTCAGGAGCTCAAGGCCAAGCTAGCAGTTCCCTGTTTCCAGACAAAAAAACAAACCACCGATTAGAAAAGTTGTCATTCTTTTTGTGGGCCGTGCCTGCTGAATTGGGCTTTGCAGAGAGTCAGTCCCCACCTTTGGTTCTCCTTGGTAGTGTTGGTCAAGTTGGAATTTCTTCACAATGGCTGCTAATGTGTTCTGATTTCTAGATCTTTGGTTTTGCCAATAATTACTGGGAATTAAGACGGTGCCGACCAAAACTACAGAAACTGAGGAGACTTCTGATGGAAAACACCTATGAAGGGCCTGACAGCCCAAAAGAGGTGGATTCGAGTCACTCCAAG